AGAGAGCTTACAGCTCATAGGAAAGTCAGGAAAAATGGGGATACAAGAAGAAAAAATAAGTTGATATAATCAAAACTGAATTATTACAGGAAATATCAGAATTTAATGTGTTTGGTTAAAGGCTTTTATAAGACCAGAGTTTCTGCTGCATTATCTTTAAAGCAAACCATATAGATCAAGTCAGAACAAAGTGAGAATTTCCAAATATAAAAATGATGTAATTTTTTAGGTCTTCAAAAAAGGAGTCAGCAGACCGATACATTGCTTTTGACATTTTATTCACACCAGGCAAAGTAGCTCTCCACGCTACCTCTCTCCAGTCAAAACAGAGACGCGGTATAAAAATACATTTATTTGGGGAAAAAATAGAGTAGAGCAGCTATTCATTTTCTGATTAGAATTGACCCCCAAAGATATCTGACCTGGCTTCTGACTACAGACTTGCCTGCCCTGCCCCATCTCATCTCACCTTGAACATGGCGATGGCATTCTGGTCTGAGTGGGCCCCTACTCTCCTCTTGCTCTCTACGGTACCACCACAGTTCTTTCTTGGCTCCTAAAGTACTGTCTGCTACTCAGCTTACCCTACAGTTCAGTGCATAAATGTCCCTGGACTACCACCCCTGGGTCTTGGATGCAGCCTGATTTCTGTTTGAAACACTCCACTTCCCTTGTAAGGGGTATTGCTAAACTGCATTTGAACAATCAACAGCATTCTTGAAATAATTTGATGTTCGAGAGTTCAAAGGTGAAACCACAGAGTCATGAGATGGGAGGTGGAATCTTGGGCACTTGTTTTGTCTATTTGGCTGGTGAGAACAATATTATATTGAGATACCCAGGGGACATGGAGCAATGAATGGCCTTTTCAAAACTTGGGGCCTGCTTAGATCTAAGTTCAGTCTTACTTTTGCAGTTGAATAAAAGCTTCCTGCTCCAATGTTGTCCTCAACTGAAACCAAACTTCTCATTCCACATTATGGCTTCCCCCCTTGGTCCCGCACCTATGGTCCAGTCCTCCATCCTAAGGCCTTGCTCTACTCTATAATCCATTTGTAAATGGATTACAGCAGCAACTTCAAACTTGCTTTCATTGCCCCTATTTCTCATCTTCTTGATCTATTTTGCATGTACTCTATAATAGGCCACATCACTTCCTACTTAAAATCATTTATGGACTTCCCATCCATTAGAATGAATCTAGTCCTCTGCCTTCTCAGTGGCCCAGCATGATCTGATTCATGCACCATCTGGTTCATACCCTACAGCAGTAACTAGCCACTGATCTCCCATTAAAAATCCTGCTCCATCATATCCTGTCTTTCACTCACTGGGGCTTTGCACTTCCTGTCTACCTCTCCTTACAGCGATAATTTGTTTCATCTTTAGTTCTTGGCTTAGTATCACCTTCGCTTGGCACTGTCAGATCCTTGCCAGTAAAAACTTTGTCCTGTTTCAGATCCACATACTTCCTTCATAGGAATATGTGTACGCACCACAAGAACTAATGATCATAACTTTTTGTTTTTAATTAACTTACTAGTCCATTTATCTGTCTCTTACACTGTAATGGGGGGGGGTCTAACTTATTCTAGTTGGCATTCCCAGGACTTACCACATTAAGCAGCTGCTAATGAGCCACTGAGTGTGGCTTATTGAGTGAGTAATCCTTTATTGTATGTCCTATGATAAGTTTAAAGGATATTTTCATAATTGTGTGGGATTTTATTAATTGGGTGTATGATCTGCACTAAGGTTCTGTGAAGTCATAGTTCAAGTTGAAGTCTCACTTTGGTCACTGCTTTATTCAGGGAATGCTGCAAGTGATAAGGCCCTTGTCATCTATTTTTTTTTATTCAATTCTATCAAAATAATATCCTTATCTGGAAGAGAATGACTGAAATAGAGACCTTTTATTGCATTCACGACCTCTTTAAAACTCCAAATCCAGAGTAGAATAGAAAATAAAGTCAAGATTTCTTAGTCATCAAGGGGGTGAGAGCTTTTGAACGAGAGGTGGAGTTGTGCCTTCTGTTTTCTGAGCATGCTCACAGGTGGCCACAGGACTCGATCTCCAGCATGACTTCTCAGGCCTTTCACGTTTACTGGTCTCAGTTTCATTTGCTTCTTCAACATCTGCTTTCCGTCTCACTCCCAAAATGGCTTCCTCCAGACTATGCCATTTCGGGAACTTTTCTTAGTCCTTATTCTTTCCCTCTTTGCTCTTTTCTTGGCCTCACGTGAATCCGCATGGCTTCCTGTCTCTGTTCGTGGGCCAGTTCCACAAACTTCTCTTGTACTCCTGCGCCGTTCTTACCCTTTGGCCTGTCTTTTCTTTAAACTTGTTGGGATTATCAATAGAATAAACCATCACAATTGTCAGGGGTAACAAAGTCACCACAACCTTTGGTCAAGCATTAGCTGAGCCAGACATATTAATTAGAACAGTAGTGTCCTCTTAGCAGGTAGGTTTAAAGACTGACTTTCATGCTTTGTGGATTTTGGACTAGAAAACTGGTCTGGAAAATGAATTAGATGGATAGTGTGCAAGAAAGGAATTCCTGTTTTCATCCATCATTCACTTTATGCCCCTTCTCATCTCAGGCATCAGGGTCTAAGAGTTTGTCCAAAATGCTCAGTAGGCTGTCCTTGGCTCTAGACTTAAATGCATCACTATAAAACTCATTCAGACCTTGCATCTCTTGACACACTTGCATCAAAGCTTTTCATGCACCAGCAGCAGACTGGTAGGTATCTGTATCTGTTTCTTTTCCTGTTGGTGTGATGAAATACTGTGAAACAAAATTAAGGGGAAAGGGATTTATTATGGTTCACAGCTCCTGCCTTAGGTCCACCACCACAGCAATGCTTGAAGCAGCTAGCCACATTGTATCTGCAATCAGAAGAGAGCAATTAGTGTGTGCATGTGGTCATTCTATGGCAACACCCAGGTCTCCATCATTCATGACTACTTTTATTTACACTTGACACTGAGTAAGAAGTCTTGTCTATCAACACCCTCAGCTGGGTGAACATGCCCTTACAAAACACTTGGCCAGAACGCCACAGGTTAGAGATGCGCTCATTCTCCTGACTCACTTTCCCTGTGCTTATTGTGACTTCTGTTAATTCCATCAACACCCACAAGGCAAAATTGCTCCCTAGAAGCTCTCTGTGAGAGTTATAGCAGACCCGGGCAAAGTAACTATTGTTATTTTTCTTGGTGATGTAGATCATGACACATGTAAGCAGAAATGCCTAGATAATAGTTCCCCTGCAGGGTGTATTCAGGAACACTGATTACTATTGGATCTTCGTGCTAGCAGTCCTATCTAGTTTGTCTATATAACCTTCAAATCTTCGTCCAATGGCTTTTTTTCTCCGAATCTCCCTTCTTGAGTATCTACATCTTCAAGATATCCTAGGTTTTCTCCCTGCCCTTCTGATTCCGCAATGGTTTCATCTTTATTTTCAATGGTTATCACCCAGGGAAGAGCCTCCATCATATGACATCCTCAAACTCAATGAAATAAAAGTGTGATCATACTCTTCCTTCACCTCAAAAATCATCAAACTTGGCTTCAGAGACACGCCCAGACAACATCAGGGCAGCACAGGAAGCATTTATAGCACATCAAAGAAACTGTACCCAAGGCTAAAAACACACCCAGGGTCCTCAAGTCACTTCCTCTATTTAGCTTGTTTCTGTGGCCACTAGCTTCAAGTGGCCAAGGTTTTAGACTGGGATGCCTCTAAGTCACAGCCCAAGAGTCACAGTAACCTACTCTTCCCATGGTTCCCATTTTTAAAACAGTACGCAGCTCATCTGTGCCTGCACAGCGTGGAAGAGGGCCACAGATTCCAGGTCGATGAAAGACCTTTCTGTCACCGTCCCATCTTAGGGAGGTGGGTCTGCTGGAAAAATTACATAACCCTGTCTCCTGGACCCGAAGTGCTCCAGCTGAGGCTGGATGCTGAGTTTCTCCAGAGGACCCATCAGGTGAAGCTATGCTTTTCTGGACTCCTATAACTCAAGGTCGCTGTGCTCTAAGGGACCATGAAGTTAGAGGCATGGGTAGAAATGCCTTGCAAGTCATTTTAGTAAGGGACCGTAGAGTCATGGAAGAAGGGCTGACAGTTCCAGGGTGCTCCTGCCCTTATCTCGAAAGTCTTAGGCTGCTCATCACTAGTGTCACTTTTTAATCAGTCATCTCAGACCTACTTTCCCGATGAGTCCTCAATACTGTACCAGAAGTAGGCTCATGTCCAGTGTGCCTGAGAAAGCACCATTTAAAAAAAATATTTTTTAAATGTGGATAAACATTTTCTCTGTATGTATTTGCCAAATGTGTACGTTACGCTTGGAGGCCAGAACCAGCGTTATTGGAATTGCAGCTGATGCAAGCTACCATGTGGGTCCTAGGAACTGAAACTAGGTCCTCCTTGAGAGCAGAAACTGCTCTTAAGAGCTGAGCCATAGCCGGGCGGTGGTGGCGCACGCCTTTAATCCCAGCACTCGGGAGGCAGAGCCAGGTGGATCTCTGTGAGTTCGAGGCCA